AAGGGTCTCAGGTTTTAGTAGTAAGAAGATTTACTTTTACATGCCCTTACTTTTCTGCTGCGGGCACGCAAAATTTATATTCAACCAATTTGGAATATACCGTAGATTCATGTATATTACCGGAATATTTGTTTTCAACATACTAGGTATATTCACCTGCACATATACACAATATGTACATACCTGGAATGTTCATCTGCACATATACTCAATATGTACATACCTAGGATATACTTTTTATGAACTTTGATGAATATACATGCATGTATATTCCACGAACATTCATGTTAGGAATGTTCAACCATGTATATTCCCAGGATATTCCCGCAATGTTCTGTATATTTTTTGAACATTCTGGGATATTGATAGAATATCAAATGCTATCTGGGTACTGTTCATTGTCCACAGGTGGAGCTGGAGAAGCTGGAAAAGCGACTATTCCTCAGGGGAAGATTGCCGGCTCGACCGGAACCCGAAGGGGCAGAAGCCGATGTGGAGGAGGAAAAATCCGAAACGCCTCCTCATCCCGTTGAGCTGAAGTCTCAGGAGTTTGAGCTGCTGAAGCGAGCCACCGGTAATACAGCAGTCATTCTCATCACTCATCCCCTGCAAAATCCTTCTTTTAGGAGGCACATCGACGCAGGAGGTTCTGGACAAATTCCAGGCTCAAAAGCAGACCCAAAATCGCCTCAATGAGCTGCGAAATAAGTCGGAAAAGGACAAGCGAATGATCGAGAAGCAAATTGAGTCGTTGCGAGCCAAACTGGATGAGTACAAGTACTCGGAGTCTCGCGACGCTGATAAGTACTGCCGAATCACCAAGCGGAAGCACTAAGAAACTGTCTTTGATTTCAGGAAATCTGGCGGTTTAGAGCGGCTTCAGCTGGAGATCGCCCATCAACACTCGCGATCTGACTCCTACAGAAAAGAAACCACATCCAGAAAGCAAGCGCTGACTTCAGTGCTGCTCAATTTGCATGGATTGCGAAGTTTGGTCAATCCGGTGGCCGCCTCCGATGAAACCCCCTCCGGCATGATGGCAGGATTTGTCCTGGATGTGAAGGAGCTGGTCCGCAGATACGCAAAGTACAAACTGCTGGAAAAGCCAGACGATGACGCGGTAACTTGACTGCTAGCCATTCTATGGAGGTAAAATTGTAAGCGATTTCAGGGGCGGATTGAGCATGTGGAAGCCAATTTGCCTACTCCCTACAGTGGCCTGATTAGGAGGACTCCTCAGCCGCAAATGATGGGGGCGCCCAGTCCTGGACCTCCTCCAGGTAAAGCCCACTTTGAGGCAAGGGAAAGAAGTGAGGGTGTGCTTGCAGGTTCAGAAGATGAGGAGGAAGTGCCTTCGAGGAGCTTCCTGAAACGACAGGCTCAACTGGTGATTGATGCCAAGTCAAGGCGGAGGAATCTTAGGATACAGCTTCCCAAAAGGAACTAATGCGTGGGTTTTTTGCCTGAGAGTTTCCAAGCTAGGTTATGGACAGGGTGTTTTTTTAGCCCTGGAATTTGCTTAGATGGAACGCGCTCTTGAGCTAAGAATTGTAGGATTTTGTTTGAGTTAAGTGCTCATCGGGATGCTTGACTTGAAAATTGATATGGATATTCGCATGTTGCACTTTTCCTCTTAGGAATTCAGGTTTTACCCAAATTGCTCATTTAATGTACAGAGTATTGCAAACATGCTCTTATTGTAATGAACATTTATGGCAATTGGCGAATATAAAACAGATTGCAACTAACCCGATGAGTTGTGCAGGCATGGAGAATGGGGCGCCAGCTTGCAGAAAGCTGCTAAGAATTATTTCTAATCTCTCATAGATCAAGCCCTCTTGGCTTGAAGTGATTCTAGTTTTTGAAATGCAACTGAAGTTGATGGCAATTTTTTCAAGCTCTTATGACTTTCAAGTTTCTCAACCGATTTCAATTTTGCAAATTACGATGTTTGGACAAATTCACTCGCTTTAGAACGCATTTCCAATGATGACCCCGTGAGTGCCCCCAGTGGTTGTACCAGTCCTACGGGAACACCTCTGATGATGCTCGCCACTCGTGCTAGCGAAACATCAGAAAAAAACTGATATCCAACTTCGTGCCAAAACCGCGAAAGCTTAACTGCAAAACGATTTAACATTTGTTTTTGTGTGATTCAGAGTGCGGATTCTCTTTCTTCAACGATTTATTACGGTTTTATTTTGCGAATTTTGACGGGTTTCAGCGTAATTCAATATTGAAAGGAAATGGTGTGGGTTCCAGTCGTTCTGCGTAAAGTGCAGATACTCATTTGTTGGGACAGGGTCGAAGGGAAATTTCGGAGTTGGCAAATTCACCGGGGAAATCAAGCCGTCGGTTCGTTATAGGCGAGTCAGAGCATGTAAAACAGTGAGGAAATTGTTAATTCCAAAAATAATCGCCTACCGTAAGGGCCATGTGAAGTTAGAGGCAATTTCAGCCGGGCGAAAAAATGCTGATATTAGCAAGGTTATTATTTATATACATATGCAATTTTATTTTTTGTTAATAAAATTCTTGCAGACATAAAAAAGTCTCCGATAAAGTGGGTGTTTTTGTGTCAGTTGACCAGGCTTTTTCCGTTAAAAGACAAGAGAATGTACATAAATCGCCAATGATGTAGTGGTTGGGGCTGAATCGTCGAGGAAATTAAATTGTTCTGTTAACTTATCCGTTTTTCCTGACAATTTCATTAAGCTAATGGCTTCAATGTTATCGCGTTTGGAAAACGGGCGAAAAACCCGCTCCCTTAGACGCACAAGCACATAGAAAGCGAATTCAACTTTAGTTTTCCATGCAACTGTTCAAATGCCACATTTTTCGATTGTTTCGTTCGAGGAGTTGCTGGCCAAGTTTCTGCGAGAATCGGTCCTTCCGGCCCATTGAACTCGCAAGGTCTAGAAATTATCGGCGCATATTTAGAGGAACTCGAGGGAAATTGAAAATTTATTTACTGGAATTTAGTGCAACTTAGTTTTAAAACGGTTCTTGGTAAAAGTTTTTCATTTTCGAGCAGATGCTGGGAAATGGGGCAAGTTGCCAAAAACTGGTCGGGGTTAATCGACCAGAAAATATTAGATTTGGCCAGTTAACTGAATAAATTCAGATTTCTTCAAAACGATTGCATTGGACGATCGAATTTAAATGGGAAACATTGGAGCGAACGCATCTGTTTGAAGCATTAAAGTTGAAAATTTTTATTTTTCCAAAAAATTGACCAAAAATCAAAATTTCACATGCCTGTTTTTGGCTCAATCGATTCTTTTCGATGTAAGAAGCTCACAAATCTGCAGTTGTAAAGTGTTTGGGTCAATAATGAGGAAGAAATCGTCGGCTTAAGATCGTGAACGCCCAAAAAACGCTTAAAGTGTGTCGAAAATGTCTATTATTTCGGATTTGAAACTTCTAGCATGTTTTTCAATGAGCTCGATGCATTCCTCGCGTCTGTGAGCTGAAAATGATGCAAAATTTAAGACATTTTGAGAAAACTTTCATTTTTTCAAAAAATCGACCTCCACACTTGGAAAAATTTCGGCCAAAATTCAAAATTTCACTTGCATCTTTTTTGAGCTCAATCGATTCCTTTCGACGTGAGAAGGTCAGAATTGTGCATTTATA